AAAGCGTAAACACACACTTCTTTTTTGCCTAAGATGTCAGCAGTTACAGCATATTTTTGAATAACTCTTTTTTTAATAAAAAGCCCTACACTTACGTCACGCTTTAGGCTATATATTTTTAAATACTTTGGATAAAAACTCTAATGTGAGAAAGAGACCATAAGTTTCTGCCAACATCAAGGAAGCAAGATTGTCATCATGTCAGGTCATTTTGACATTTGCAATTGATAATTTGGCTAAAGTAAACAATAAGATAAGATTTTCATTATTCTTACTCATGTACTTACTTACTTAATACTTACTCATTCTTACTCATGTCGAAAAAAAAGTTATAACTGTTTCGCCGTTTTTTTAGCGTTGCTGACTATTAAAATCCTATTTTTTATTTTAAGTCTGTTTGAAATCCTCGTTTGTTCCGGGTAATCCCCGTAACGGCTCGGCCGACTTTGACGGGAAGGATGCTAATTTATACGGCAATGTTATAGGGAAAGCACTTTTTTTTAAATCCTGCGTTGAGTGTAGTCGCGGGTAGCACTAGTTATAGCACAAGTGCTAAAATTTGAATAGTATTTAAGTTTGTCGATACAATAATCTCGGTGTTAATTTACATACCAAATTGTGATACCTAGACAAGCTGCGATGTGTTATGAACCTACAAAGTGTGATTACATTTAGGGAAGTATTTATTGGTAGTCATAGCGCGCGTCCGAGAACAGACGAAAGCGAGTAAACAAGGAAGTGCCGGCGGCCACATGGCCCGCGGGCGGTGACTCAGCCGCGTGGCCAGTCAATGTAGATTCATTACTTAAACGTTACTATACTTTCAATTGTTAATTGTCAATTGTTATGGTAAAAATGTAGAAAGCCATACGTAAAAATATCACTGCATACCTCGGCTGACACCGACATCAAAGTAATAATAATTGTACAATATAGACATAAGAGCTACAAGGGAGGTTACTATTTTCAAGGAATTATTTCGTTACTTTAAGGTAATTGTTCTTTTGAGAATATTTTGTTTTTAGTCTATCTTGTTTGGAAGTCGGTAATGTTGTTTATTTAAAATTTTTATTAAATGCCATAGGTATGATCTGTTTTACCGGGAAACTACACACTTGTTATGTTTTATTATGAATTGTGTAATTTACTAATGTTTCTTTAATTAACCAGTCCATGTAATCTCACAGTTAGTGATATGAATCACTTACGACAATAGTCGAATAGCAGAATTGGAATCGTATAACTTCATTGGTGCTTGGCTATAAATTGTGAAGTTTTGTTGTTTGAATTGTGCGCTCCACGTATTTCTTGGTACTGCGGCGAGCGGCGAGCGGCGAGCGGCGGAATGTATATGACACAAGAGGATAATCTTTGTCGTATATAAAGCTTAAAAATAATTAAAACAACTTGGTAAGTAAATATTTTGAGCGTAAACCGAGAAGGCAATTAGCGCATGAAACATTACCCAGACAGAGAACGTGCGCCGACGTAATGCGAAGTGAAGCGATTACAGCGAACATAAAACTGTCGTAAATTTGAGAAAAGTTTACTTAATTTCGCGAATTTTAGTATATGTATCTACGCTTGGCCGCGCCGCGCCGCCCGATGGCACTGGGGCGCTGCGCTCCGCAGCCGGACCTCCCAAATATAATATTTGTTGTACATATCACATACTCGTATGTTCTGCTCAGATTTCATTTTTATTGTACCTATTCGTATTACATAAGTTTATTTCATCTTCAGTGGGTCGCTGACGTGTTTTTCATATATTCATATATAAGGTCTTTACCTATGAAATTGCCGAACCGTATGAAAAGGTTTAAACGGTTTTTTTCATGTATTTTTTTTCGTATTTGAAAGAGGAGAAAAGCACGCGTAGCTGCTACTCACATATCGTCTGGGTAATGAAACATTACTAGTTAATGGAAATATTTCGTTTCTAAATGTGGCAGCAACGAGGACAGCTGGATAGGATATTTCATAACTATCCCTAATCGTAGCGATTTATCAGAGCGGGGGGTGACGTCCGCGGTGGCCGACTGTATGCCCCCCTTCTCCTCCTCTAGGGCCGTATAAGAAGTTCAGGTTGAACCTTCGCGACTGGCAACGGCACCACGACCATCCAAATTTTTGGTTTTGTTAATAAGTTATTAGGGGAACTGCTACGTCGTAGCTTTATGTCCTGTAGCAATCTCTGCTACGTCGTAGCGTAATATAACTAACGAATCGTGGGTATAGTGCGTCAAACTTATCCAGTCCGGTATGAGGGGCTTTGCTATCGGAATTATTAATGTCAGAGGATATGTAGAACCTACGAAGGCATGAAGAATGCTATAAAAAAATAACACACACACACAAGTTACGACGAGGTTATATGTATGGAAGGGCAGAGAGAGGATTATAATTTAGTTTTCCCACCAGGTCAGATAAATTAATATTACAAGTACGTACGCAAATTCTAGATCGAAATGACTTTTGTCAATATTCTTGTTTTCCAAATTGTTTAATAATCATAGTACGCGGCCTTGAAGCTAACGCATTGTAATGCGTTAGACGTATTCCACTACTACGGGAACGCACGTCGTTGGTGTTGTACCACATTGACAATCCGACTTTTTAGCGACGACGCATTCCTGTTTACCTAAGTACTTATAACGTAAAATATTGCGTTCGGCTTTTAGTAAGTAGCTTGTCCTCACAAACAGTCTCAAAGGGCCCCAAGAGCGAATTTAATTATGAAAGTGATACGGTTTTGGAACACGCAGACGTAGCGGTGGCATCGCCCCCTGTCCCCGGCATATCCCCCGCACACATACTAGTCTCACATGATAATTTGTGATCATTTAAACTGAGGTTGGAGTTTGATAGACACACAATACTACACACAGGTAGTACGTAATAGAACCGACAAAGGTATACTTATGTGTAACTTCTAATAACTTACTGTTGTATTTTCAGGAACCAGTCGTGTAGAATTACTGACTAAATTACATCAATCAATGATATGAATTAAAAAAGGGGGTTCATTTCGGCGCGAGGCAGGACGGGACGGGGTGGGGTTTAGAGCCCGCGGGGTGAACGGCCTCCGCACGCGATATTTTTCACGTGATACGATTATATCGACGATGTGGGTCACCAGGGCGACGGCACCATTCACCTGCCACCACCACCTACCACCACCTACCACCGCCACCACGCCACCGCCCAGCCGCCATAACGCCTCCACAACGCCGCCAGACCGCCGCAACTGGTGCCTTGATTCCTGTCATTGTAATCCTTAAACAATTCCTTGTCCAATAAGGAATAGTCCATAGACTTTAACATTGTTATTACCCGGGATTGATAGTGCTAAACTTTTTGACTTTTATGACGGACACTTTGCCTTTATGTCCAATCGACGTCCTCGGCTTTGCCCTGGTGCCAAAGATATTCTCAAGAGTTTTTTTTGTTATTAGGCCTATAATGTTTTAACTTTTCTTTCTTCCTGAATTTCCGTTATTAGTTAAAGCCTGGGAGGGACATAGTCTCGGATTTCTTCGAATTCGGTTTTCGGAACTATCGATCCCCACAAGCTGGCTGTCAAGCGTGTATGCTCATACATTGCGCGGCACTCTTCGCCCTGTGCCCTGCGCGCCGCGCCCCCACGGCCCCATCGACAGGAAAACTATTGATCGATAGCTACGTAATCTTTGCGGCACTACCCAGAACGATAAGACCAATATTAGTCCATAAATGTAGGAATCGACAAATAAAATAAACTCTTGCTGCTATGGCTAGGATGTTTAATACATGCAATTCGTGCTGCCCCGGTAACAGCGTATTCCAACTACATATCTGAGGTACGTATGAAATCAAATAGCGCATTGACAGTGTAAGGTCGCCGCGCTATGGTCATGTCTGCGAAGGTGAGGAGGAGCGGCTAGCGGCTACC